GGAAAAAAAAATCAATGTGCATCACATCCATTACCCTGCTCTCTCCCTATCTCTCTGTCATTCTCTCACTCTCCTTTACTTTATTTGTTTTTTTCCCCCGCCTTAGCACAAGATGTCAGCATATTAATGATGCATCTTTCAAACTGATAAGTAAATTGCACATTTATAAAATGACACATTGTAGAGGATGTTTGAAGGCCTTTTAAACCCAATTAGGCATCATGACATGTGACATCAGATAGAATATTGAAACCATTTATAGAATTGGTTCTCGCCCAATCACATTCTGTTTCACACAGAAGCTGCATAAAAGTAGGACTGGTTGATTAGCATCACCAAGACAAGATCCATAATGGCTCTGTGATAATTTGAACATTCTATTTTATGTTTCACTTTATGTGCCATCCGACTTATTCTCCTCGACAAATTGTAAAACATCTCTGACGATGAATTTAAATAGGCGAGCATTGTCTGAAACAGCAAAGTGATGACGGCTCTTTGGGGATTCTGGGTAACACATGGCCTATTCTGCTTCAGTTCGTCCTCTTTCCTGATTATGGAGAGTAACCGCCCTGCTCTGTGCTGTGCTTTCCCGGGACAAGTGAGGCTTACAAATCACCCCTGCAGCATTTGGAAGAGCTGGAGGAGTTGAAGGCACTCGGCGCAAGGTTTTACTGCCTGTCTTCTATGAATGGCTCCCTGAAGGCTCCTATGATAATAGCTCACAGCCGTGCCCTTCACGGGGGCTGACATCAAGCACACCTCTACAGCAGAATGGAACGGCATATCAACTTACCCAATGGGGTGTCATATCAACCCATCCACTGGTTTCTGGTCATAACATAGGCAGAAGCGGAAATGAAATAATACTAGCTGTTAGGGGGTTGGGCGATGTCTACCGATGTCCACAGTGAAACATCATGAAGGACAATTATATTGTTGATCCAACTGTGATGATGTGTTCAAATTCATTTATATTAATTAATAATATTCAGGTATCTCGCGCCCATGGACGGATTAAGAGACAATGGGCACAGGCATGCATAAGGCCCCACTACCCGACCAAGACACTCAGACTTTATAGTTAATTGTTTGGCTTCTTTTCATTGTTGTTCTGTCTGTCTTTGTGGTCATTTTGTGTCTCTTTGTAGTCGTTACTCATCTCTCTGTGGTGGTGTGTCTCTTTGTGGTCATTTTGTGTCTTTTCGTAGTTTTGAGTCTTTGTAGTTTGTGGTACTTTGTAATTGCTTTGGTCATTTTGTAGCTGATTTGCATCTTTATGTAATTGTTTTGTGCCTCTTTATGGTCATTTTGAGTCTCTTCGTAGTTGCTTTGTGTTTATACGGAGTCATTTTGTGTCTCTGAGGTTGTTTTGCCTGTTTTCATAGCCATTGTGAGTGTGTTTGTTTGTTTTCGGCATCTCTTTGTAGTGGTTTTGGTGCCTTTGTAGTCATTGTATGAGTCTTAATGGTCATTTTCAGTCTCACCTTGGTTGGTACGTGTCTCTTTGAGTGACATTTTGTAGAGTAAGGCCAGGGGGCCCTTAAACTTGGGCATAACTTTTTTAAAGGCCACATTAATGAGGTCTTGTTAATTAATTTAAAGTAAATGAGACATCCTGGCCCTCTCCTCCAAAATACATTCTGTAGCACAACGTTTGAGTTGGGCTTGAATGACGACTAAGTCAATAATGGCTACATGTTAACATGCTTAGAGAATTCATGTTTGTTTACAGCAACCCCATATTTGTAGGATGACCAAGACAGTTAGATGAGATAATTATTTATGTTTCCAAAAGGAAATAAGCAGCTACGACGATGACAAGAAAAACCCACAATATGATTGAAGCTCATTGTTAAATATGACTCCATACATCAGACCAATGTAAACAAACAAGTCATGTTCATCGCTGCTGGTACAGTAGTATCCCTCCTCTCCACCTGTTTCACCTTCTTAACATGTTTTCTTTGCTGATGAAACCCAAGCCAACAAAGCCAATCTCAGATATCTTTGATGCATTCAGATGTGAGTTCAAGACTCACACCTCACCTGGCGAACTGCGAAACACCATACCAAATACCATAAATAGAGTTGTTAGGTTGTGCAAAAAATGCTTGTCAGTGAATGAAATAGTCACTGACAGTTGTGACGACTAATTGTTTGTCTAGCAGCTGTTTTAAGCTGTACTTAGGCTCAGTGGAGTTCTTATCTAAATGCTGATGTTAGCATACTGACATGCATGTTCACCATTTCAGTTTAGCATGTTAGCATGCTAATATATGCTAATTGACAGTAAACGCAAAGTTACGCTGAGGCTAATGCTGTTTTTAGTTTTGCATGTGTTTTGTCATAAATGACGATATTAAGATGTTGGTGCTCGAGGATCACCAACATCATTACAATTTTTTTTAAAAAGTAATCCAGAAATGGTCTTTTAGGAATTTAGGAATTTGTTTTCTTCTGTTTTACGGATCATAACAAAGTTGATAACTCATTAAAGTAAGTTATCATATCATAAGAAAATTAAAAGTAAAACAGACTTTTCATAACATTTTTGTCTCCTTGTGGCCCAGTAGAGACTCTAACCAATTATTCTGCAGAAGTATTTTTTTTGCTTCTCCCAGAGAAAATATGCCAAACCAAGCAAAACCTCATATAGTGTCCCGGTCATTGCAACCAACGTAACCAGAATTGGTCTGAGTTTTTTGGGGTAAGTGAGTGGTTCTAAAAACACAAAAAAGAAAGGACGTACAAAAAAGAGACATTCATCCATCCAGCCATCCATCATAACCGGTGCAACGGTGAAGCCAATTTCCACAAAGCTCCTAAGCTGATTGAGGCAGACCAAATCTGTTTCACCAGCTTACATTCCTTCAAAATGGCCATCTCACTTCCAATATCACGGGCTTTTACTGTTCCCCATTCCCCTGGCTCAGGCTGAGAGTTAGCAAGGCTTAGCTGGATGAAACACTCCAACAGCCCAGTTCTCCCCTGGAACCCACTGATATCTCTATAGCACAGCCTCTCCCTACATAGCTACACTTAGTTGGTTTATTTAATATTATTCTTTGTCTGTTAAATTTCTCTGTTGAATTTGTTGTTTCAGATCATAACAATATTACAACCATTAGGATGTAAACGAAAGACGTATGTAAATTCTGACGATTCTAGGCAAGCAGACAATCTAATCACAGAGTATATGTCCACACACACACACACGCACACACACACCTTGGCAAAATGCACAGGCAGCACTTAACCACAACACCTTCTACTGGAGTAGATTAAATTCACACAAGGCCTCTTTGAAGAAGGAAATTGGAGAGATAAGAAACAGATTTCAATGAAAGAAGCTTGCGAGGGGGCCTATAGAGAGAGGCCGTGGAAGTGCGCAAAGAATATGTTTATTCACCTGTAAGCTTACTCCTGCATGTGCCACTGTGCATAGCGTGATTATACATGATACTTATCAATCTATTGTCATCTATTGTCGTGTGTTCCCCTCCCCGCTTGCTGTCTCTCTGTCTGTCCCTCACAGTTTCTCTGTCATTTTGCCACAACAGCAAATATCCTGTTGGCCCAGGCTGCAGACTGCTGGTGCTGGTCTATCTGGCCCAGGGATCGATCCGGCTCCAAGCCGAGGCTTCCCATTCATCTCAGAGCCATAAAATGTGATTAGTGCTGACTACAGCACTGCAGGGAGATGGTCTGATAGGCCTGATAGCTTCAGATAGGCTGGGTTGGACACTCTACAGGAAGACAGCAGCAACAGCATGCAGCCTTGCCTTTTTTCTCTCTGTTTTGCTTTTTTCTCACTCTTATCTTCGTCACCGTCTTACCCCCTCCCCCTTTCTATCTTACTCTGTCCTTGTGTTTGGCTTTCTTCACACTCTCTCTAAACTGTATCTCTCATATTTTGGTTCGCTTCATATCTAAGACTGACAAGATTTTATGCGCAGAGGTTACATTGCAGCAGAAAACTTGTAGTAAATGCCAATTTCTTCTTATCCCGCAAAGTTATTATCAAATGGAATAACAAGCCTCCCTCCCTCTATAGCCACACCCACTGAAACCACATACAGTGTATCTCTGTGGCATGTGACCACCTCTGTCAGCCAATCACGGAGCTCAGAGATTGCAAGTGGCAGAGTCAAGCTTGAAGTGTAGGAAATAGATGACTGCCTCAATTCTGAGGAACAACCTCTGTGGTGGTGTTATGAGCACACTGTTCTTATGCACCGAGATGTGTTAGAGGACCTTCTGGGAGGTATAGTGTCTCTGAAAACAGATTTCTGCATATGAATGCAGAATCTGTAAGCAACTGGACAAGACTTTGGTATCTGAGAAGTTCTGGTTTCCATCTGTAGTCTGTTGTAGTCCTAGTAGTCCTAGTAGCATTGACCTATACAGTTTGAGTGGGCTTTGGTTGAATGCAGGTAAACAGTCAAAGTGGAGAGCAAAAGAGGAGGAATGCTATCGCGGAACCCATTGGCTAACATCTGATGGCTACTTCGATTTGTATTCATCTCTATGAACAGATATCTGCATATGAATGCAGATATACAATCAGGTCAAAGACTCTTAACTCTAACTCCATTTTCGAGTCCATAACTGTACTGAATCAGACTGTAAACAATGACTGATGTCCGTTAGCATAAAGACTGCTTTGTTTTAATAGTAAAGTAGACTAACTGTGCTTCCTATCCAGAGGTGAAGTAGAAAAGATTTATTTATCAGTTTGATTTGTTTGAAGCAGCCAATAATGCATATGTCAAACTTGCATAACACCAGTTTTACTCATAACAAGTTATTTTCAGGAAGGAGAGTCCTGGCACATTTCAGGACATTGGTGTAAGAAGTTGGTAGATATTGTATGATTGAGCCAATTTAGCACCCTTAAAGTAAAAGGCTGTGTGTGTTATGGGAGATAGAATGGAATTGTGAGAGAAATCCTGCTTTATGATTAATGGTAACAGTATAGAAGACCACAGCATGCTGACCTGTGTCTCACGGACGTTCTCCACCGTGAAGTTGAACCAGACTCTGAAGCGGGGGTTGCAGGTGTCAGGGCGGATGAAGAGGTCAAACTCAAACTCACTGATGTAGTCCACCCGGCCGAGGTTCCCTGCAGAGGCAGTGAAACAGCTTACATTAGCTTTAAGCAGAACTCAGCAGACCACAACACAGAACCACAGTGGATTCCTTAAAGTTCACAATCAGTGGACTCGAAACATTACAAACAGACAGACAGGCAATCACAAGACAAAATGATGTTATGGCACAGCCTCATTTCAAATTGAGGATATGCTTCCAAAGACAGACGTGTTATATCGATAAGTGTCTACTAATAGTGCTTCACTGTGGTGGTCTCCTGCATGGTTTATTACTGCATGTACAGTATCTGCACATTTAACTACATTGGAAAGTATTTTCAAACCAAGTCGATGCCCACAGAGAGCAGTTACCAGGAGGAGCAGAAAGACCAACAGACGGGGCTTTTCCAGCCATCCATATCTGACACAGAATATACCATCCACAGCAAAAAGATCCAGATGATCAGTGGAAGGATAATTAATCCGATGGGAACTATTTCCCTGCTTCCAATTCTCATAGCTGTCTGTAAGATGACTGGCTAGTAGTACATGACAAGCTTTCTAAATATAGTCCCCGTCTGTATCTTCTGATTCATATGCGGGCACACATGTAGTGGAGACTCGTGTGGTGCGTCACGCGTGAATTAATGCTTGTCAAAGAAAAAAGACGGGGGGGGAGGGTGAGAAGAGAGGGCGTTAGCCTTCATGTCGAAGATGCACGGGGCAAAAAATGACAAATTGACAGCTTATTTTCCCAGAATGCTGTGCTTAACCCAATTCAGGAGACCAGTCGATTCCAGGCAGCTGTTAAAGAGTTAAGTTTGCTGGCAAACATGGGCAGACCACAAGGCTCAACTCTACATCAGGGCGCTGTTTACCACCTGGTGGCTAGTAGTACCACAGCAGCAGCACGCACACACAGACACAGCTGATTACAGACAGATGGGCTAACTACCACACTGTCAAAGTAGATCCCTCTCCTTCTGCCATTGGACAGACCTAATCCACTATTCAGCTTGCAACACACACACACACACACACACACACACACACACACACACACACACACTGCTCCACTGACCACAGAAGTGCTGTCATCAGTTTATATAGGACCGCAGAAAACTACAAGGCGCTCCGATATTCAAACAATATTTCTTGTTAAAATGTTCATATTTAACACAGCGTGAAGCAGTAACACACAAGCAGCGAGAAAGAAATTGCAAAAGGCTATTGTGGAACAATAAGCTGATGACTGATTCGTATTTACATGTGAAGCCCATCCACCAACAGCTTCCGCAGCTAGCACTAATGGTGAGTGGCGTCTCATTCCAGCACACTGGAGCCTGGAAAAAATGTCTCTCTGCAGGCCGCTTCAAGTGTAAAGGGAGTGGCTGAGCTATGCTGAAATAGTGTTGTACTTCATCTACTCGTTCATAGACTTTATTCAAGAACTCTACATTCAGGAAGCATTTGCAGCACAAAATAGTCAGACACAAAAATACAAAGAGAGGCAAGAAGTCCATATGTTGATAAATGACCTTTATTGTGCAGAAATGACATGTTAAGACTTAAGCATGTCTGCCTTTCTCCCTGTATATGTGCACATGTTCCTGCATGTATGAAAATACACGTCGATTTTCGACACAACATTGTGAAAATAATTCTACAGTAAAAGTGTGAAATCAACTGCATGACCTATTCGTTTATCTCTTACATGTGAGCAGGCACATTTCAATCTCCATTTCGCAGCGGACGGATTCTCGCGATATTAGAAGTGTGTGACGACACAGAGAGGCGACCGTTTGTCCAAAAAAAAAAAACTTGATGTAAAAGAACACATCTCTCAAACTGTAACTTGGTGCATGTAGCATTTAAGCATGGGAAATATGGACCCTCTTATCTTTATTTTACTCTAAGCTTGCAAGAGTAATCAAAATCACATGGTGAATTTTAAAGTATGTTAAACTCTATTATTTTGTGCTTCCAGATATAATATTTGTTCTGTAGTATTTATGATCACAGTGAACCGCCGTATCTTGACATGATAACTTTTGTGTGATATCATCACTAAGAGAGAGATGATTGATTCCCTATAGTTTGTTTTGCACGGTGATTGGCTGGCTAAGAAGTGGCAGGCAGGCAGGGACTAGCGTTTTGGCTGGTTTTGCAGTGCAATCTTGAGCCATTGAATGCAGATAAAGCCAGGAGCAGGCGGAGGGTTGAACCAGACACAGCTGCAGCTAGCAAGCACGGACAAAGAGAGGAGACAGACAGCAGAGCAGCACCTGTTCCACAAAGATGTGGATCAAATCGATCATCTCGCATACCGACATCACAGCTATTCAGGGCCGACGCTGCCAAATACAGCCTATTACACCGAGTTGATAATGGCTCCAAAGGTCACCCCTCCTATCAGAGTCTTATTCAATGATAAAAACACAACCACTCTCTGAGGGCGCTTTCATTATTTATATAAGGGCATGTGCTTTTGTAGATTTAAAGTGTAAATGTGACTAAACCATTATCAAAAATCAATGCATTGATTTGTAAGCCTCCACTGTGAAAACCATCCTCACGTCATTATAGAATTTCACTACACAGTCAACTGGAAATAACCTGAAAATGATGCCAATCAATGCTTCTCCGTGATTGGTTCGGTGGCATTGCAGTGAGTGAAACTACTGTATGTCGTTAAGCCAGAAGAAGATTGGACAGGTTGTTACAAATGCTGTCAGAGGCGACACAGAAACAAAAACTGTGATGGTAATTTACTTTTCAATGCGTTCTCACAAATCAGGGGTTTCGCTATCATTGCGGATGATAATGATGATGGAAAGATTTCACTAAACATCACAGTAATTATAAAAGATGCAGAAAAAAATACGCTGCGAGCTGGATGCACAGCACAATGGAGTTTTATTCACACAATTAAGAATGAATTGGGCGTAAATGGGGCCAATATACTGTGTTTGTCTTCGTCACCTCACAGGAATTCATCCACAACAGAACTCTTCGGGGCAAGTGTGACAAAAGACTTCTAGACGCTCCTTGTGACGCCCTCGGGCTGCCTGTGGTGGCACTCACTGAATCCTGAATGAAATACGGATGTGTACAACCATCGTGTGTGTGTGTGTGTGTGTGTGCGCAAAGTGAAGCTATATTTGAATTCACAATAATCCCAAACTGAGAGGAAAAAAAAGAAGCTGCATGGAGAATCTGTAGGCAGGTGAGCAAAGCTTAGCAAAAACCTTCTCACGCCCTCGATTTATAGCAAGCTTTTTATTGTTACACAATGTGTCCCCTTTAAGGTTTGCAACTTATTTTGTATTAAAAATTCCTACAGTACTCCAAATCCCTATATACAAGCTATGAATCTCTATAAACTAATACCTACAGTATATAACCCCGGTACCACTGTTACCGGCCGGTTTTCTGCAGAAGAGCCAAAAGATAGAGACCAAACTCAGTGTCTGTGTGCTTGCGAATACTGTAGCACGGGCAGCAATAGACAGCAGCCATGGGCGGCTGGGTTATTGAGCCTGATGCTGGAGGGCCTGACGTGAGAGATGGCTGCGGCTTCAACGTTAGGATTACACGTTCAGCCCGCGGAGCAGCGGGCATATGACACGCCATTGATCCCCGTTTTAATTTTATGGTGGCTACCTCCAAATTCTAATGCTTTGGTGGGCCCGTAGCTTGACCCTTTTAATCAATCGCATATCATTTAGTATTTAACTAGCGTAAACGGCCAACTGATTTCTGTGAAATGCCCTCTGAACCAGATAAAGCAAAGATAAGTTCTGTTGAGTCTGTGTGATGTTGGGAAGCGTTGCACAGAACACCCGATTTGTCAAGAATTATTTTTGGTTCTTTGTAGAACAGACAGACTGTGTAAGTGTAAGTGAAGCTAACGCACGACAGACGGCGAGAAGATGAGAAAGAAGGGGAGAAAATACACCATTTCTAGTCCTTGAGATCTCTTGCATAATTCCTCTTGAGTATCATCACTCTCCATATTCTTCTTCAGTGGTGTCTTGGCAGGTTATGTTGAATATCAATCTTTGTCCTTGAGGGAAAACTAGTGCAGCGGTTAGACATTAACAAATTGGTTTTCAACGAACAGCTTAGCTGGTGCAGCCCAACAAAACACAATTGCTGGTTCTGAACAAGATTTTACACATGACAGCCTCTCCTTGAGGAAAACCCTGAACAAAACCCTCCGTCTCTCTCTATCTTAGTCTGTCTTTCTCCGATTGCTCCTCTCCCTCGGTCTCTCTTTCTCTCTCACACACACACACACACACACACACACCCATGAAAGCAAATGAAGTAAAAATAGCAAATTTCAGAGTACTTCTTTCAAGAAAAGTGGAAATCACATAACGCTGTATGTTTGTGCTGAAAACAAACGTGTTTGTAAAATGGGTATGAAAACCTGCGTCATTACACAGGGCCATAGGCAAGTAAACAGGGTGCAAACACGAGGTGGCCAAGTGGACAGTCAGTCATCTACACATGGGCTCACAGCCTCAGTGTGTGTGTGTGTGTGTATGAGAGAGACCTGGAGAGGGAGCAGAAGAACCTGGCTAATGTAATCCCATTATGGAGGTACAAGAGGGAGCAGTCACAGTGCTCAGCCCACACAATGGGCCGGCCTTCAGCCTGTAGCTATACACTGGATAGATGGTTTCTGCCATGCAGATGGATCATCGTACAGCAGCAGCAGACCCGCCTGCCTCAGGCCTGAGGTGGAACTCACTCACACAACCAGCCATTAGAATGGTAATAGGGAGTTGTTTCAAAATGAAATAGACTCTGTGGTTACAGTGCTTCCTACTTAGCAGATGTGTCGGCTGCCGTGTCCTAGATCTTACATATTTTCACACACAGGTGTTGTAGGAAAAATACATGAAATATCTTTGGGATACAAATTCATGTTTTTTTCCTACATGTAATTAGTTTTGCTTTAACAAAATTAACAAAGCCTTCTTCTGACAATCTACACACACACTCCCGCGCCAGATAGCACATT